CGACAAGGGAGCCGGCCGCCCTTAGGCGAGCCGGCTCTCACAAGACGACAAGCGAGCCGGCCGCCCTGAGGCGAACCGGCCGCCCTGTGCAGGTTTAAAAGCTGTCTTCAACTCTGGCTTCGGCCTACGTCAGTGGGGTAGCCCCCCAGCGGTAACTCTCGCGATTTTTTGATTGAGCTGGTTGAGAGCGTGATTGAGCCATGCAGTTAGTCCACAGTTTATTATAAGCTTTGTTTTTTTGGCTGAGCAAGGCATATCTAGCGATTAGCAATTCGTTACAAGTTCTTGGAGCACCGCGTTTGAAGCCATTCAAGGCATAAACATGACAACGACCGGGCAAAAGGCAACACGTTTTGAAGGGGAGATGTGAGGGTCTAGGATAACTGTGAGACAAGCATGTTCGCTTTCAGGTGTATCAGCTAGACATACACAGCTTCTCGCAAGCATGTGAGTTTCATGATGAAGATCGTTGCTATGTTCTTCGATATTTGATGCGTGTATCTATGATCTAGCTTTTTTGAGATCTCCCGTGACAGTTACAAGGTGTCCCGGAATGTTCATGGCAAAGACTTCAGACTTCGGGGAATCTTCGGAGCACAGAACCCTTCTGCATAACGTTCATCGCCGAACCCTAAAGTTTTGACGCCGAACATTTTTGCGTTTTCAAGCAGGCCTTACTCTTCCAGCCTCTGGCGTTGAGGTTGTTACAGACTTGAGTTTAGCTTCTTCAACTTTGTAAGGGTTCGCTTTCATTGGAACGATTTGGACATCCACTTTGAACCGTGGAGACTCTGAAGCCATATCCAAGTCAACGGATAGCCCAGACCTTGACGTCTGCTATCCTCGATGCCGACGAGCATGCCAAAGTCAGACCCTAAATCCCAAAGTCAAAACCGCCATTCGCAGGTTTGAAGTTTGAAGGTTTCCAGCATTTTGCATTTTCCAAGTTATATTTGACGCGGCCATGTTCGAAGTTTCACTTCACGGCTGTCTGCAGGTTGCATGAGGTACTTGATGATATGGCAGTAGTTTCCATTTCTTTTCGCAAGATGCTGCTGAATTCTTGAACATTCCAAAGCAATGCTGTCCTGTAAAGCAGAAAGTTGAAACAATGTATAGCTCAGGTTCGGCAGCGGTGCTCCCGGATGACACCTGATGCACGACTACCGTAGTCGCTTGGAGGTCCATGCGCCGTTGAACCATAACATGTACCAGGTCAGAGAAAGGGTTTATTTCAGATAATCCGCGATTGCTCGTAGCCGTTGCTCATCGAGTCGAGCATATCACTGCATTCTAACTAAGGCAAAAGCCCCTCGCGAGCCGAGCCGCGCTCCGCGTGGTTCCGCTTGCGACTCAGGGGTCGCAGACCGCCGGAACTCATTGGAAAGCCATCCACAGCTTGTTTCAACAGGTGGCAAAAGGAAGCAAGAAGGCCGGAGGCGTTGCTCATCAGATCGAACAAACCACTGCATTCTGAGTAAGGCGAGGACCGAGCGTGTGCCGAGCGACTCATCGGGGTTGGCTTGCGCCTCAGGGGTCGAGGACTGGCTTCTGTATCTTGGCATTCCAAGCAGACCCCTACTGCCATATAGAGGCCTTGATAGTTAGAATAGGGTTTTGGGGCTTCTTATCCATAATTAAAAGAAGGAGCTGCAAAATAGTATAGTGCTTCAGAAGTAAAAGAAGAAAAAGCCACCGAGATGCACTGTTGCTCTGTTGCCCCATAACCATAAAAGAACTCTTCGAAGTAGTATGTACGGTGCTCTCTTGCTTGGGCTCTGCAGCTTTACTTAAACCCTCAACCCTAAACCCTGATCCCAGTACGCGGGCATGGAGCCCGCGGAGACGGGGAACCTCGTGGTCGGCCTTTCCGGTGACACGGAGGCGTGGGTTTGTGCTTTCGTTTCTTTGTCCTTGAGAGTCTATGTATCCAAATAAGGGTTCCTTTGAGGAATTCTTTAACGGATCCTTTAAGGAGCCGTTTAAATAGTTCTTAGAATTATAAGCGAAGCTACCAAAATACACTAGTGCTCTGTTTCTCCATAGCTATAAAAAGGAACCTTCAAAGTAGTATGTTGCCCGGGCTCTGCAGCTTTACTTAAACCCTCAACCCTAAACCCTGATCCCAGTGCGCGGGCACGGAGCCCGCCGAGACGGCGGACCTCGTGGTGGGCCTTTCCAGTGACACGGAGGCGTGCGTTTGTGCTATCGGTCTCCTCATCCCTGAGGGTCTATGCATCCAAATGAAAGCTCCTTTAAGGAATCCCTTAAGGGATTGTTGAAGGAGCCGCCAGAATAGTATATTGCTTCAGAATTATAAGAGAAGCCACCAAAATACAATATTGCTGTGTTGCCCCATAACTATAGAAAGAAACTCGCCAAAGTAGTATGTACGTTGCTCTCTTGCTTGGGCTCTGCAGCTTTACTTAAACCCTCAACCCCAAACCCTGATCCCAGCACGCGGGCACGGAGCACAACGAGACGGCGGACGTCGCGGTGGGCCTTTTCGTGGAGACGGAGGCGGTTTAGGGTTTAGGGCCTATGTATCCAAATACGGGCTCCTTTAAGGAATCCCCGCAGGGATTTTTGAAGGAGCCGCCAAAATAGTATATTGCTTCAGAATTACAAGAGAAGCCACCAAAATACACTATTGCTCTGTTGCCCTATAACTATAAAAGGAACCCTCCAAAGTAGTATGTACGGTACTCTCTTGCCCGGGCTCTGCAGCTTTACTTAAACCCTCAACCCTAAACCCTGATCCCAGTACGCAGGCACGGAGCTCAACGAGACGGCGGACATCGCGGTGGGCTTTTCCAAGGAGACGGAGGCGGTTTAGGGTTTAGGGTCTATGTATCCCAATAAAGGTTCCTTTAAGAAACCCCTTAAGGGATCCTTTAAGAGCTGCCAAAATAGTATAGTGCTTCAGTATTGTAAGAGAAGCCACCAAAATACAATATTGCTGTGCTGCCCCATAACTATAAAAAGGAACCCGCCAAGGTAGCATGTACGGTGTTCTCCTGACGGGGCTCTGCAACTTTACTGAAACCCTCAACCCTAAACCCTGAACTCAGTACGCGGGCGCGGAGCCCACAGAGACGCCGGACGTCGTCTTGGCTCTTTTCGGTGAGACGGAGGCGTGGGTTTAAGAAGCCGCCAAAAGAGTATAGTGTTCCAGCATGATAAGAAGAGCCACGAAAATAGATTATTGCTCTGTTGCCCCACAACTATAAAAGACTTATAAAGTAGCATGTACGGTGCTCTCTTGCTTGGGCTCTGCAGCTCTACTTAAAACCTAAACCCTAAACCCTGATCCCAGTACACGGACATTGAGTCCACGGAGACGGCGGACGTCCCAGTGGGCCTTTCCGGTGAGACGGAGGCGCGAGTTCCGTATCGGTGTTCGCGTTCCTAAGGTTCATGTGTCCAGATAGGGGTTGCTGTAAGGAATCCCTTACGGGATTTTTTACAGGTGCTTATAAGGGTTTAGTGCACATGTATAAGTATAAGAGTCCATGTATCCAAGTAGTAGATACTTAAACTTTTAAGGAGGGTACTGTAAGGCCTAAGAATGAACTATGTGGGTACATGGAGCCTTACGGTCAGCGTTGGAGTCCAATTCGAAACTCCAGAGGTTCGGGTTTAGCATGTGGGGTTGAGAGTGTGGATATAGGGAGTAGGGTATAGCCGAGGTTCTTCTTTGATGCAGTTTCGGTTGTAGGACATGTTTTCAGAGGTCTAAAGCGCTGGCATTTGAAGAGCCTGGAGAATAGAAACCGAATAAGGCCGTGAAAGATTCCGTCAGGCGACGCCTGACATCGATCCTGAAGACGAGGAGGAGGCTGAGACCGACTACGGGGTGCTTTCTTTAAAGTAAGCGCCGAAACCCTTTCGCCACGCAGGTGACCTCCAGTGAGCTTTGGTGACCACGCGTCAATGCACCGAGCACCGTGGGTTTTTTGAAAAAATTCGAGTGTATGCTGTTAACAACCTTCAAAGCGTAAACCCCTAAGCCAACCAGGATTGCCAAATAGACCCTAAAGGTCCATGCCGCATATGTATATATGTATATATGTGTATATGTATATATGTATATATGTATATATGTTTATATGTATATATGTATATATGTATATATGTATATATGTACATATGTATAGATGTATATATGTATATATGTACATATGTACATATGTACATATGTACATATGTATATATGTATATATGTATATATGTATATATGTATGTATGTATGTATATATGTATATATATATATATATATATATATATATACATATACATATATATATACATACATATACATATACATATAGATACATATACATATACATATACATATATATACATATACATATATATATATTACATATACATATATATATATATACCATAATATATACATATACATATACATATACATATACATATACATATACATATACATATACATATACATATACATATACATATACATATACATATACATATACATATACACATACACATACACATACACATACACATACACATACACATACACATATACATATACATATACATATACATATACATATACATATACATATACATATACATATACATATACATATACATATACATATACATACATTTATACATATATAAACACATACACACACATACATCCATACATATCCGGCCATTTATCTACCTATCTGTTTAACTAATTATATGTATGCTTATTGTCATGCCAGGAAGTATCCATCATTCATAGCAGTGCTAGCCGCTGTCATCCATCATCGTCGTCACCGTCATCATTATTATCATCACTATCGTCGCCATCATCGTCACCATTCTCATCATCACCAACATCATGACCGTCATGATGTTGATGATGATCACCAGCATGGTCACCACCCATCGTTCACTAGGCAACCCCCAAGCTTAATCCTGTCGGAACACTCATCATAACAGCACTCGTTCAGAAAGCTCTTGTGCTTCAGGCGAGCTGCGTGGCTTTAGGCGGCACCTGGCATTCCCAGACCTGTGGCAAGGAGGTCTCGGAGTGGGATCACAGGACAGGGTTGGTATTCCTGGCCTCCAAGCCGCCTTTGATCTTTACAGGGTTCGAGGGCGTGAGTTGATGGTTGTAGGCTTTGAAGGCTTCAGATGGCAGGATTCAGTCTGTGTCATCCGGTGCGAGCCTGTTCAAGTAACACCAAGAAGCCTAATTACTCCCTAGGCCCTAAACCCTAAGCCCGAAAACAGACACCCTTGGCGGAAAAGAGCCCTTAAACAAGACATGGCATGACTCCAACCTGAAACCCAAAACCCTGAGCGGAACCCGAAGCTCCAAAACCTGCAAACGCCAAGGTGTTAATTACTTTGCACCCCAGACCCTCAAGCCTAAACTCTCAAATGGCCCTACACCCCAAACCCTAAACCCTAAAGCCCGACAGTGAGTGTTGGTGAGCCTCGGGTTCATCCCTGTGGCAAGATATGGCAAGGAGGCGCAGCGCTCTGGAGGAGTACCGTGCGGGGCATTCAGGTTTTTTCAACGTCTTTCAGAGCTTAAGCAGGTCCCCAGAGCCTACAAGGTCCGATATAGAATTGAAAGACCTTTTGGACGAGTTTGTCTTGACTTTAGGGCTAGAGGATTCAGTACAAGTTACCTTTTTCTAGAAACGAAAGCGTCTTGGTTGTCCTAAAACCTAGGTAAGGCTCTGCTAAAGCGGCTTTCGTCGCTTTCGTAAACGTGTTCCATTCCACATATGCAAAGTGAGGCCGGGAAGGCCATGATGACTGGAGTGTTTCGGCTTGTGATTTGCTTGTGCATTTTCTAACTGCTGGGTTCTGTGCTTTCTTTTGCTGCTGGGGAGCTTGAATACCGTTCTGTGATGGGCGACTTGAATGTTAGCTTGCAGTAAACCACCCCGACGCCCAACCCAGAAACCATGAACCCTAAATCCGAAAGCCCGCAGCTCCAAAACCGGATCCTTTTGCGGCCGGTGTAGCGTTTGGGCTTCACCGCAGCCCTAAATCCTGAATCGCCAAGCCTTGAAACCTTCAAGTTGTCGCCGTCTAACCTTGAGCCCAAATCTCTTAAAGTGTTCAGGGTTTTGGTGCCAGGGTTTAGGGTGTTCTTTGGAGCTTTTGAAGTCCCATATCCCAAATCCCGAACCCTGCCTGCAACAATGAAGACCGTACTTAAGTATAGCAGACCTTTTTTCAGAGAAGTTCTCAAAGCACCCATTTTTCCATCCCTTTCCCTGCAAAGGAGGCGCAAACGGCTGGCAACTGCGCAGACTTGACCTACACCGGTGACCTCAAGGACGGGCAAAAAGGTGCCAGAAACGTAGGGCACCAAGCACACCTTCCAGAGTTAGGTCGCTTCCCGGAGACTCCAATATCCCTTAATGAGGGAGTATTCCTTAAGTCATATTAGGGATCCTACTCTAATTTAAGGTATATCCCTGAATTAAGGAATATTCCTTAAATCATACAGGTTAGGGATCCTAGTAGAATTGAAGGTATATAGGGATATTGGAGTCTCTGGGTTCTGCAGCCGGATCGGATTGTGCTCGGGACCCGTCCACAGCGTAGTCGGATCTTGCGCGACAGTAATCGTGTTTTCGCTGGGGTTTCGGCTTGGCTTGAGCTTGTTGCTGAAGTTGTAGGACCTTTCACGGGTTTCTCTTGTGAGCTGAGAGCATTTCGCCCCCTTAAACCCGAAAGTTCCGAAGGCTTCACCCCCAAACCCATCAAAGCATGGAGAACGAGCCAGAAGCAGAAACCCATGCAAAAAATTCCCACACATCCCCACTGCAGCCCACCAGCCCCTTGCAAGCTCTTGTCAGAATACGGCAGCCGGCAGGCCGAAATAGAGGGCTTCTCGAAGATGTGCTGCAAATCCTTCCCGGCCACAGTTTGCGAGCCCAGAGCCCAGAGGATGACGTACTGCAAGGACCATAGAGGGGCCCCCTCTTCTTGTTGGGATATCTTCTCGTGTCATTCAGCAGTATAACAGGGTTTTCTGCTGTCTTTCACATTTCTGGTGTTCGCATGGCGGTTATACGGTTGTATTCCGCTGCAAACTGTCGAGAGAACACAGGCTTGGATGCCTTATCCGGGTTAGGGCCTTGCGTGATCAATAGGTTGACGGTCTCAGGTGAAGGATTGACTTGGGTTTGGGAGTGTTGGAATTCGTCGCTGCTATATTGGTTGTTGAGATTCCAGTGTTGGATTCATGCAATGCTGGTTAACGTGTGTAAGCAGAGGTGAAGAAGCACACCAAAGCCGAAACAAGATAAACACCTGGGATGCTTTTAAACGTTTGGCAAGAGAGGACGAGGCAGACTTCCTGCCGAAGAACTTCATGGAAGGCAGCAAGACCTGCCAAGAGGAGCTGTCGGAGATGAGCTCGGAGTGGCACCTGGCGCTGAAGAAGGCGTCGGAGCAAAGCAGCTGCACCACTGACTTCTTCCACGGCCAGGCCCTGGATCAGATGATCTCGGCTCCCAGCAAGAAGTGCTGCGCCTCCTCCCCGGCGAATGCCTGCCACAAAGACCTTCAACAGATGACGCCTTGCAAGGACGACGCGGACTTCCTGCCCAACAACTCCATGGGCTGGACCGCATGCAAGTTCTCCCATGATGTGGTGGCGAGCTGCGAGGCACTGCACGGCTTTTACTGGGCCGAAACCGGCCTCTGCTACATCGGGCAGGACCAGACTCAGAAGGCAAACTGTGTAGCCAACGGAGGCAGCTTGTACGAGCACACCTGCGGTGACGAGATCGCTTCCTGGGAGCCGCAGTACCACTTCCTCGTTCACCTTGCGAAAGAGACCGATTGCGACAATGTGCAGGTGCACGGGCAGGGGATGAAGGATGCGTTGAACTACCCGGCAAAGATGTGCTGCGCCTCCTTTCCGGGCTCCCTTTGCAGTCCCTTGGCCAAGAAGATGACGCCCTGCAAAGACGATGCCGACTTCCAGCCCGACCGGCCCTTCGCCGAATGGTGCGAGTTCCATGGCCACCCGCCACAAACCGATGCTTGCCATGCGCATGGTTGCAGCACACATGGTGACGGCTGCGACTGCCATGCGAAGGCAAACTGTGAGGCGGCGGGAGGCACCTGGAAGGTCGAGACCTGTGGCATGGAAATCCAGAACTGGGAGCCTGCTTTCCACATAGCCCTACAAGAGGCAGACTCTCTGGGATCCTGTGCCGCACACTCCTACGGGGACCTGCCCTCCTTGGTCCAGCACCCTGCCGAGAAGTGCTGTGCCTCCTACCCTGCCACACTCTGCGACAATTCCGCCCGGAAGATGACGCCTTGCGCAGACGAGGACGATTTCGATTCGGACAAGGTGGCTGTGCTGCGCTACTATGCTGTTCGATCATGGTTCGTGGCCGTCAGGTTCGAACACCCTTACAAAGGTAGCACTGGGTAGGTGTGAACCTCCAAGCCTGAGTGAGGTGATGTGGAGCTGGTGCCACATAGAAGGGCCCGTCAACGTGCCTCGGCAGCCTCTGATCGGACTGTCGGTGGAACTTGCGCTGCCTGGGTTTCGCATTCGCATGCCTACGCACTTTCCTGAGGCCACGCTCTGCAACGCCCAGGCGGACTGCTACGGTGGCGATGGCTGGTGCCATTGCGAAGCTCAGGCCTCGTGTGAGGCCATGGGTGGCACCTGGAACGCACAGACCTGCGCGAAGGAGGTGGAGCAATGGAGGCAGGGTGGAGGGGGAGAGGTGGGGAGGGTTTCGTGCAGCGGGCGCATTTGGATGTCTTCGTCCAGGCCGGAGCAGCACCGACTGCTTCAGAGCATTGAGGACGAAGGCAGGACCTGCGAGGGCAAGGAGGTCGACGGCATGCGGGCGCAGGACGTGCAGCGAACGGCACGACCAAGCCAACGTGAACCATGCCCTATACCAAACTCTCTGTATTCCAGACAAGCACTCTTGTGCTTGTTTTCTAGCTGCAGGACTTCACGAATTGGCCTGCACAGCTGTGCTGCACGTCCTGGCCGAAGAGCATCTGCGAAAGGGACGTCGTTGCCATGACGCCGTGTCTTCGCCGCGAGGAGTCCGCTTGTAGAGAATGCCGTGCAAGAACACTGTAACACGTCTGTAACAAAGTTTGTGAGCGCGGCTTCCAGGATTTCCAGCCTGATGGGGTGACGTCAGCCTGGTGCCACGCGCTCTTTCCGGTCCCGGCGAAGGCCGACTGCGAGGCGCAGGCGGGGTGACGCGTTCAAGCAGTCTAGAGTCTAGACCCCATTCAGACCGCGGTCTCTGTGGGCCTCAAACTCAAACAAGGGGTATGCAGGGTGGAACTGTGGAACAGACGGGCCCAGCGCTAAACCCTAGCGGCCCCAATGGCCCTAGCGGCCCTAGCGCCCAGGGCTGCACGACCAACGAGAACGGCGATTGGTGCCACTGTGAGACCGAAGCCGGCTGCGTGGCCCTAGGCTTGGCAGGAAGATGGGGACCTTAGGGTACCGAGCAAGTTACTGTGGAATATATATATATATATATACTTGAAGACCTGAAGTGCCAAATTGAAAAGGGGTTTAGGGACTAGGGACGTCGCCGTTGCGTTAGACAAGCTTTCCCCTGAACTTCAGCGATAAGCCCAGCGCTAGCCCCTTTTTGCATGCAGTCCGCCCGAGATGTCTCTGCCCTGCCAGGTGGTGAATGGAAGACCGAGCACTGCCAAGACCACCTCAAGTGGGAGCCATCGAGCTGGCACAAGGCAGCTTCTGCCCCCCTCGCTTGCTCGCTCGCTCTCCGGAGTTCCTGGTTTCGGGCTTTTGTGCGTAAAGTTGTATCTCAAGATACATGGCGACGCCTTACGGTGTAGTGGAATAGATCCAAATCTACTCTGATTCTTTTGTCCCTGCCGCGGCCTTCCGCTGCTTCACCGGCTCGTAGCCTACAAGATGCGTTGTTCAAGGAACATATGAGGCAGGTCTTTCAGGCCGAAGGGAAGATTCTTGCTGAGCCGCGGCCAGGCCGTCGCAAAGGCCATCGACCAGGACACTTGCCTCTCGTTGCAAAAAGCTACCGGCTGTGTCCTTCGTAGCTGCAACATGATGCAGTGGTCCACTGATTCCGACCCGACAAGTTGGGGCTCCAAGCTTCAGGAGTTTCTTGCGGGGCAAGGCGGGGCAGAGCGGCCTAGGGCCTAGGTACAGAGCAGGGTCACGCCTTGCCGCAACTGTGGCAGGTTTTCCACACTTCGCGGTTCGGTTTGATTGAAGCTCTACCGGCTCCAAGGTGATGACATAATGGCCACCTCCCATGAGAAGCTCGAGGACAAAGTGGAGTGGCTAGGCCTGGGCGGACACAAGACATGGCTCGGGTTCCCGCCATAAGGAGCTTTCCATACTCGAAGCAAAAGGAGACGAACTTGCGCTCCCGCTGATCCTCCTCAAACACAAGTGACAGCTAAATTGCAGTGGTCGGGGCTTTGCGGATTTGGCTTTGGTTTGTCAAGCAGTGCCCGCCTCCCCTAGCTTCGGCACTTGACTTATATACTTCCTCCCCCGTCCACCCGCAATCGGGGTCACAGCTTTTTCGCTGTCCCCTGTCAGCCGCCAGCATCACTTGGGACTTTGGTGGCGGTTTCAGGGCAGGCTTTCTGCCCTGAACCCACATGACAAACCCCGGGCCCATCTCCGCATGTCTTGGGCGCAAGACCCACTCCCAAAGCAGGTGGCCGATGCTGCTCCAACGGAGACATCTGCAAGGCAGATCGATCCTTCAGGTTTCGGGCTACACCTTTCGGTTTGAGGCTTGGGTAAGTTTGGGATTTACGGTTTGGCGAGGCTCAACTATGGGATGCTATGGGGCTTATGGCAAGGTGCCAAACACCGCCAAGAGAAGAGCCAGCAACATGAGCCCCAAACTAGGAGCCCGAAACCCTAAACCTTCAGGACTGTCGCGCTGCAGCAGTCTCTGTCTTTAAGGTCTTTGTGTGCCAGTCCTGGGGAGTTTGGAGCCCTTAACGCTTTGAGTCTTGGTGCTACGGTTGATGGTAGAAATCCTGCATTACCCATAAGACGGAATATACCATTATTCCCATAGTTTAGGGTCCTTAAGGTAATGCAGGATTTATATCATCAACCGTACCATGTTGCGTTGACTCGGCTATGCCTGTGACCCACATGGTTCGGTTGCTTCTTGGATGCGGGTGATGCCTGTTGTAGAGCCTATTGCAGAGCTTATTGGCGAAAACAGCGAATCCATTGGTCCGTAGACTTGGATTTCGTCGGATTTAGGATGTCCTACATCCGGCAATGTGTCGCTGTCACAAAACCCAAGAGCCACTTGGAGCCACTTGGAGCCACACGGAGTGGAAGGCGCATGGACCGAAGCTCTAGCAAATCCAGAGCCGTCCGGGAGAATCCTAAACCAATAAGACCTACCATCCTACAGCCCCAGGACCCTAAAGCCTAAAGCCCCGGGAGGCCTGAAAGCCAGACCCTAAGACCCACTGCGCCGAAGTCTTAAACCCCGAAAAAAACCAAGCAGACGAGGAGCTGACGATGAAGGTCCTCGATTTAGGCTCTCCCCGCTTGGCTTAAAGTCTCTGCTTTGGGGTGCTTGTTGGATGTTTTTGTTTTTGATGTTGGTTTCAGGGGGAGTCCTAGGTTCGGGTTTCGGGAGTTAGGGTTTACCCCTCGGTTTGCTGGATTCCGGGTTTAGGATCTGGGTTTGGGGCTTGGTGAATCGGGGATTGTACTGACGCTCAAGACATTGAGAGTGCGCAGCAGGAAGCCGAGAGTGGTGATCATACGGCCTGAAAACTGGAGCAAAGGTAAGGGTGTAAATCGTGCGAAAGTGGGTAGAGATGATGGGCGATGGGAGGCAACAACTTCAAAGAACCACCCATCGAGAAGTGAGCAGTTAGAGTGGTTTACAGGACCAACGCACTCAAAAATGGAGTTCGAAGCCCGGAACCCCAAATTCCGAAGCTGGAAGCCTCAACCCCGATCCCCTAAAATCCAGAAACCAAGCACGCGACCCCCCGGGCCCGAGCCCCATCCTTGCTTGTCAGGCATCCCTTGCATTCATGGCGATTTCCAGGCAGACAAGGCTCTTGGGGCTTGGGGGGTTTAGCCGTAAACTGCCTGGGGCTTGGCTTTCGAGCTTTGAGTTACAATAATGAACCCTTCAAACATAAATGGTTTTAAGCTTTTGATTCCTGGGCTAAGGCAGGCCCTTAACCATAAACCCTGAGCCTTGATCTCCACCCTAAACCCTAAACTCCAATCCCTATCTGAACACGTGAATTTTGAGTTACTTGGAAACGATGCGCAGGTTATTGAGACACGCTGCCAGCTGGACTCGATCGATGGTCGCTTGGATCGCCACAGCACTCTGGGACCCTCTACAGTTTATAGGGTTATAGACATAGAGTTTTCGGGTTTGGTGGTTTTAGGCTGAAGGGTTTAGGTGCAGCTTTGGATTTGTTGAACTATTCAACTCTTGAACTTTGATTTCTTACGCCAAAGACCCAGGTCTGCAGCCGGAAACCCGAAGCGGTGTTCGCAAACTGTGCGTTCTCCTTAACAGCGACTCAAGAGCTTAACTGAAGCCTGAATAGAAGGGCCTGCCAGAATTTCTTGACATAGTCGCGGTACAATATACCCCAAGATTTCCTCTAATGATTCAGCTCCTCCTGAATTACCCCAACAGCTTTCTGGAAGCCCATGAAAAAATCCAGCTCAAGCCTGCCTGTACACTGAACCTGCTTCGAGGGAGAGGGCCTGAAGCCTCCATGTCCCAGTCAAACGGCTTGGGTAGAGACCCTGAGAGTAGATTCACGGTTTCGGTCATGTGGGGTGCTGGGGCTTCAGGGCATAGAGGCTCAGGGCTTGGTTTGGAAGGGTCAACAGCTCGAAGATCGAGTTTTAGAGCCGATCCCACTTTGGATGGCTTTCCTTTGAAGAGCGCGGGGACTGCTCACTTCTGCATGGGCAGGCGCCAGGCTGGAGTTTGCAGATTTTCAGGGGTTCCTCCTGAGCTCTCCCTCGAAACCAGAAACCCTAAACCCTAAACCCTAAACCCTAAAACCCTAAAACCGTCTCCCTCGAAACCTTAAACGCCGAAAGGGGAAGGCTGCCGGGCCTCCAACTGTACCTGGATGGAGGACGGAAGACACAGCCTCGCCGCCTTACTACTAGCCTTACTTAGAGGATCATGGGACTTAGTAACTAGGGTTATAATTATAAGGTAACTATACTTATATAATTAGATATATATCCCCACTTAGGGTACCTATAAGCATACTTACTAAGTCCCCCATGTCCCTCCAAGTAGTGTGGCTCAGGTGTAGGGCTCGTAGCCTTCGGGTACCGACTTCAGGCTGCCGCTGGGAAGTTGCGAAGCGTAGGGTTCTTGTTAAGGAACTTCATTTAAGTTACCATAATAGGGATCTATCGTAAATAATAGGGTTTCCTTATTATGGTAACTTAAATTAAGTTCCTTGACAAGAACCCAGGAAGTGTAGGGTGAGTGGGTGTGGGGTATCGTTGCAGAGCTGCCCTTGCTCTGGGACTTAGGGGCTTTTTCTAGGCCCTGGGGTTGGGTTGTGGTCCTTACAATTTGAAGTCGTGAGGGTTTCGGCTTCAGAGTAGATTCTGGGCAAGGGCTTTTTACGCTTCCCGGATGTTTGTTGTTGGTTGAGGGAGTGCCGGCGGTCTTCGCACGGTCTCTGTAGCGCTTCAGGGCTTTGGAATGTGTAGTTTCAGCTCATAAACTCTGATACCAAAACCCTATGTTCTAATCACCAAAACCCCTAATTATGAACCGTAAACCCGGGCTTCAGGATTTGCAGCACTTTGCTTCACAGATTTGGGTTTGGGTGTTTAAACCTCTGCCCCCGGCCGTTTTCTTTCCTTTATTCAATACGGAAGTTTCCGAAAATTGGGGGGGGGGGACCTTAGTTGGGGTCCTTACTTACATTCAGGATCCTGCTATCTCCGGTACTTGCTCAGGATCCCCTATTCTCCGCAATCCCCAAATTCAGCACGCAGGCTCCTGGGCTGGAGCCTGGGTTCTGTTGTAGGAATGGCTGTGGGCTGCTTGGTAGTGCTGGTCGTGCCCTGGTTGCCTGTGTTGTAGGTTCCGCCGGCCTTTGCTGAGCAGACTGAGTCCGAAACCTGCATCCAACAGAGCACTTTCCCAGCGTATTAACTCCCGGTCGCGCGAGATCTCTTGTTGTGGACCTTCCAGGTAAACTTGCTTTGACGGTTTCGGACTAGGGGTTGGGCAGGAGCTGGAATCCTCAATTGTCCATGTTAGGTTCCCGGAAGTGCCAGGCCATGATATACTCCCAGGTGGCAACTTGCATGTGCGCTGGCACCCTAAACGCCTTGAATCCTCCATGCCCAGCGCAGGATATGCACCATTGCGCCTGTCAGCAGGAGGTCCGACTTTGTCATGGAAGTCCCGAAGTCTACTAAAGGGCCCCAAACAATTACCAATGCTATTTTGGTGTTTCCTTGTTCTAATTACGGTATAATGGGCCCCCAACACCTATTCTAATCATTAGGGGCCAGCTGGGCTTAGGATTTGGAGTTTCGTCTTTAGAATTCGGGATGGAGGGTTTGGAGCTCAGAGTTTAGGGCTTGGATCTGTGTGCATTCCAAGTCCAATCGTCCTAAACTCTGCACCTGACACCTACAACCTCCAGCAACGCATTTTCATAGGGACCCTTAGGGGGGTAAGCGGGTGGGGGGTAGTGGGGCTTTATTAAGTCCTTATCATAGGTTTTTAAGGCCCCCTACCCCCTCCGCCCAACCCCCCTAAGGGTCCTTATGACATTTTGCTCCCTACTGGTACTATCTCCTACCCCAGAACCCCAGTCTAATCATTATCATATCAATGATATGAAGCCCCGCTCAACCCCCTGTATCACCCCTTATGAGTGGCCCCGTGTACCACTCCCCGAACCGCCTAAAATTTATTAGCGGGGTGCAGCCTGCAGGCAGCATGCATCGGGGCCGGTGGCCTTTGGCACGTCCGCACTTGTCAGAAGGAGATCGGAGACTGGCCTCTCAGGCCAGTTCGAGGGTTCCTTTCAGGCAAGGGCTCTGGGGGCTCTTTAGGGCGCTAGTAACATTTAGGCCTCAGGGATTGGGATTGTAGGGTCTAGGCTTAAAGCTTCGGATGCAGCACCTGCCTTTTGATATGTTCATCGCGGATTCCTGTTTTGTGCCGGACATGTTCGAGCATGGCAGGGCTCGGGTGGGCTTTCTACGAGCAGAGATGGATAATATGAATACACGAAAATGCAACGCAGCGCGCGCACACACACAACTTGTATGTGTGTAGATCCGTAGGTTTAGATAACCCTAAACCCTAAACCCTAAACCCTAAACCTAAACCCTAAACCCTAAACCCTAAGATAGATAGCACAAAGAAGGATCCTCTGGAGGCCCGAAGTTTCCATGACTGGAGCCTGGAGAAAAACGGCCAGGCAAGTAGACTTTAGAGGGAACCTAGAGTTGAGAGTCATGAGATGTTGTGCACAAATGTTTCACAGACACATCAAGACCTGAAAGAACCCACAGCCTTGTTGAGCCAGGTTGAAAATATTCTATGTTTCAGCCTAGCCACAAGTCGCACACGTCGGCAAATCCAAACTACGACATAGACCCTCAAGGCCACAGCACCAACCCTTTTAGACTTAAAACCCAGCCAAGAAGGAGACGTCAACTATTGGCGATGGAAACTCTGCCCCTCGCGCTCCTTCCCGCAGGTCTTCGAAGCATACTCCTCTAAGACTTTCAAGCCCGAGGTTGTGTAGAAAAGTCTCTTGGTGTCAAAAGCCTCTCTAAACCGCTAAAACCTAAACTCTACTCTTTTCAACCCCAAAGCCCTGAACCCCTTGAGCTTTCAATCCTAAGAACCTATGCTCCCAGAGTCATACAACCCCCTAAGTAGGCTCTCGAATGAAGTGACACGGGTTCCCAGAGCTGTGAGCCTCGCAGGAAAGTCAAAGCCTTCCAGGACTGCTTTTTCATTCTTCTTGCGGTGGGTTTAGGGTTTAGTTTTTTTTTGAGGGTGAGGGGTCGCCCTCTTATGGTCCCGTAAGGAAGATCCTAGGAAATAGGCGGCCAGCCACAAGGCCTTAGCGTAGTTTATACATACATCCTCATACACCTCTTTTTTGTCCAATCAATTTAGGGTTTCGGGGCTTTTCGAGTTTTTCCCGGCTTTTCGAGTTTTTGGGATGCCGGTGGCCACCGTGATCTTCAGGGTTTCGGGTTGAGGTGGGCCTGAGAGACATGGCAGGCTTTTTTCACCTCTCTGGTCAGCAGTCGTCCTGTTTGGGTGGAGCAACCTGAAACCCAGGACAGGAAATCTAAACCCCTAAACCCCTAAACCCCCAAACCCCATAACCCTAAACCCTAAACTCCAGCTTAGCTCCCCTGCCTGCTTCTCCAGGAGGCCCTGGCAGAGGGAGGATGCTCGGACTTGGAGTACGACGGGAATCTGAAGGAGGAGATGGCTACCCAAAGCCCTGCGATGAAAAGCCACCGCCGGAAATCCTTGAAACTCTGGTCTAGTGGTAACCCGAAGCGATCTTTCAAATTATTCAGGCCCATATATATATATATATATATAAACCCTAAACCCAACGAAACCCTGAACCACCAAGACTGAGAACTCCAAGAGGAGACCGAGTGGGCTGCGAAATTGTGCTGCTCCGAATTCCCGCGGACTGCATGCGAGCCCACGAACTATGGAATGACCTACTGCAAGGACTTCCCCAGGGGATGGAGGGTAGCGATCTGTGAGGTGTGGCGGGGTGTGGAACCGGGTTGTAGGAGGGTTTGCGGACTACTGCAAGGACTGGCAGCTCAGCACCTGGTAGGCGGCCTTTTGCTTGTAGAGCTTTTTAAGCTTACATGCCTACCACAAGGTTAGCCGACCTGCAAATTCGACGAAATGAAGAGGTCCATGGCGCTTCAGCGTTTCAGGGTCCAAGGCGGTCTTTCCTTGTTTAAGCTTGCCATAACTATACGGACGGCTAGCCGGTCCTGAGCCCAGAGCATGGGAGGTTGATGGAGATCTGCAGGGTTTCAGGTTTCAGGCTTCTGCAGTTCAGGGGCTTCGGCTGTATGGCTCAGGGGTTTCGTCAGCATTCGCTCTTGCAAAGGGTCGGCTCTTCAGAGGACCACCAAGAACAGCCCAAACTCCAGTGTCTCGTCTACACGGTCTTGTGTAGACCCGAAGATAGATGTGAAGAAGGCTTCATTCTTGGGCCTTTTTTGGCTTTTGCGACTTTGCAGGACGAGGCAGACTTCCTTCCGGACAACGTTCATGAGGCGTATTGCTCGGCAGACCAGTTCAAGGATGAGCACAGCTGCGTGGCAGCCGGATTCCAGTGGCACACCAAGACCTGCCAAGAGGAGCTGTCGGAGATGAGCTCGGAATGGCACCTGGCGCTGAAGAAGGCGTCGGAGCAGAGCAGCTGCAGCACTGACTTCTTCCACGGCCAGGCCCTGGATCAGATGATTTCCGCTTCCAGCAAGAAGTGCTGCGCCTCCTCCCCGGGGAATGCCTGCCACAAAGACCTTCAACAGATGACGCCTTGCAAGGATCACGCGGACTTCCTGCCCAACAACTCCATGGGCTGGACCGCATGCAAGTTCTCCCATGATGTGGTGGCGAGCTGCGAGGCACTGCACGGCTTTTACTGGGCCGAAACCGGCCTCTGCTACATCGGGCAGGACCAGACTCAGAAGGCAAACTGTGTAGCCAACGGAGGCAGCTTGTACGAGCACACCTGCGGTGACGAGATCGCTTCCTGGGAGCCGCAGTACCACTTCCTCGTTCACCTTGCGAAAGAGACCGATTGCGACAATGTGCAGGTGCACGGGCAGGGGATGAAGGATGCGTTGAACTACCCGGCAAAGATGTGCTGCGCCTCCTTTCCGGGCTCCCTTTGCAGTCCCTTGGCCAAGAAGATGACGCCCTGCAAAGACGATGCCGACTTCCAGCCCGACCGGCCCTTCGCCGAATGGTGCGAGTTCCATGGCCATACGCCACAAACCGATGCTTGCCATGCGCATGGTTGCAGCACGCATGGTGGCGGCTGCGACTGCCATGCGAAGGCAAACTGTGAGGCAGCGGGAGGCACCTGGAAGGTCGAGACCTGTGGCATGGAAATCCAGAACTGGGAGCCTGCTTTCCACATGGCCCTGCAAGAGGCAGACTCTCTGGGATCCTGTACCGCACACTCCTACGTGGACCTGCCCTCCTTGATCCAGCACCCTGCCGAGAAGTGCTGTGCCTCCTACCCTGCCACACTCTGCGACAAGACCGCCCGGAAGATGATGCCCTGTGCACATCCATGGCATTTCCAGGCAGACAAGGCGGGTTCCTTGCGAAAGAATGCGAAAGAGTCATGTTGAATTGCTTCGAACCCCAAGTGAGGTGATGTGGAGCTGGTGCCACATAGAAGGGCCCGTCAACGTGCCTCGGCAGCTTCTGATCGGACTGTCGGTGGAACTTGCGTCGCCTGGGGTTTCGCATTCGCATGCCTACGCTCTTTCCTGAGGCCACGCTCTGCAACGCCCAGGCGGACTGCTACGGTGACCATGACTGGTGCCACTGCGAAGCTCAGGCCTCGTGTGAGGCCATGGGTGGCACCTGGAACGCACAGACCTGCGCGAAGGAGGTGGAGCAATGGAGGCAGGGTGGAGGGGGAGAGGTGGGGAGGGTTTCGTGCAGCGGGCGCATTTGGATGTTTTCGTCCAGGCCGGAGCAGCACCGTCTGCTTCAGAACATTGAGGACGAAGGCAGTAGCTGCGAGGGCAAGGAGGTCGACGGCATGCGGGCGCAGGACGTGCGAAACGGCACGACCAAGCCAGCGTGAGCCATGCCCTATACCAAACTCTCTGTATTCCAAAGAAGCACTCTTGTGCTTGTTTTCTAGCTGCAGGATTTCACGACTTGGCCAGCAAGGATGTGCTGCACGTCCTGGCCACAGAGCATCTGCGAAAGGGACGTCGTTGCCATGACGCCGTGTCTCCGCCGGGAGGAGTCTGCTTTTGTAGATTTCAATGCAAGAGCCGAAGTTTGCGTTTTCAGTTGAGCCTGGCAGCCAGGATTTCCATGCTGATGCAGTTTCGTCAGCCTGGTGCCATGCGCTCTTTCCGGTCCCGGCCAAGGCCGACTGTGAGGCGCAGGCGGGCTCTTGCTCAGTGCGGTAAGAAAGTGGAACTCGAAGATGTCGATGAAGTGTCTTGTACGGTTCTCTGGTCATGCTGCGGTATGAAGGAGATGTTCTGCAGCATATTGAAAGTCTAAACCCCGTACATGGTAAATCTAAGCCCCAAAGCCCGCGAAATCACCTAGACCCAAAACCCTGAACTCCAAGCCCTCGAAAACCCTATAAACCCTGAACCCCTAAACCCCAAACTCCTCAAAAGCAGGGGAACTTGAGCCTTTGAAGCCGCAGGGCTGTACGAGCAACGAGAACGGCGATTGGTGCCACTGCGAGGCCGAAGCGGGCTGCGTAGCCCTAGGCCGGGCAGCGAGAGAGAGGGCGACAAGGGGGGACATCAGAAAAGGGGGTTTAGGTTTAGGGTTCATGGTTCATGGGTTTATGGGTTTCAAGTTCAATGTTGGGTGTTGAAGGTGTGGGGTTTTAGGTTTTAGCTTCAATGTTAGGTGTTGAAGGTGTGAAGTTCTGGGTTTTAGGGTTAGTTGAGGTTCAGGGGTTGGCCCTACGCCTTTACCCCAACCCGAGCTCTGATAACAGCAGTCCCAACGTATGGAACCTGATCGAGGAGCAAACCCTAAACCCGAAACCCTGAACCCCCAAAGAGGGAGCTCTAACGCCCGAAACCCCACAAAGCCAAAGGAGCCGTGAACCAACCCTCCACCCTGAACACCAGAAAAAGAGACCCCCCAAATTCCGGACCATCCAAAAGCCTTCAAAAGCCCTCAAAAACCCTAAACCCTTCAACAACCCCGAACCCCAGATCTCCTGAAAAAACCCATCAACCCTATAAACCTTCGACAACCTTCAACAACCCGATAAACCCTGTATAAACTTCAAAAAACCTAAACCCTAAACCCACCCAAACCCCATACCTATAACCCCTAAACCCTCAGAAACCCTAAACCATCAAAAACCTTATAAACCCTAAGCCCTCAAGAACCCTAAACCCTCAAAAACCCGAAACCCTGAACCGTAAACCCTTAAAGGTGGCCAGTGGATGACCGCGAGTTGTCAAGAAGAGCTCAAGTGGCAGGAAGTGAGTTGGCACAAGGCAACAGCCTAATATAGGGGCTCTCATAATTAAAATGGGGCTCCTTTAAAGGGGTGTTTAAGGGCTACAAAAAGGGGTCTATAAGGATACTATTATTCAGGGGCCTTCATGATTAGAATAGGGATTTGGGGCCCGTTATACTGTAACTGTAATGAGGAGGCCCCAGGATAGTATAGGTAACTATTCAGGTCCCTATAGTAGGTTCTTTCAGGCTAGTGCATTCGTAGTAGTGGGGGCAGCGGTTTGTTCCTCCAGGATATGAAAAGGTTTTGCTAGTTGTGTGTAGAGGTTTGCTAGAAATCCTCCGTGAATGCTTTTGTTCATCTACCGGCGTCTATATTGGATGTGTGCAGCACCATTTTAGCAGTATGATAAGCCCACAGCAGTTGTCTAAGAATTAAGGCTTCTAGGGTTTCGACCAAAATGGGCGTTTGTTGCAGGAGGCGTGATGACAAGATCTCTGCATGTCAAAGCTTGTCATTCAGAGCAGATTCTGCCCATGCATGGAAGCAGCGGGGGTTCTCCTCTGTCTTGCTCTCGTTCTCTCTCTCTCTCTCTCTCTCTCTCTCTCTCTCGCACACCCCACTTGTGCAGCTGTTCCGATGGAATCCAGATAAAGATCCCAACAGCCTAATCTCAAGACACCTTCCCATCAAAGAACACCATTTGCGGCCTTTTCAGACCAAGAAAGTCTACGTAGTATCCCAAATGACCAATATTTGGGGCTTAGCGTGAGGGTTTCGGGCCTAGCGTTTAGGGTTTAGGGCTCATAAACCACCTTGCTGATTCATGTCCCTGGACATCTGAAAATCAACCGCAGCGCAGCCTTGTGTGCGATGCCCAAGACTCCTACATCCCGTTGCTGACCTGTGAGATCGATCCCTTAACCTTAAATAATTCATCAACCCGAAACACGTATAAAACCGCGCATGTCTACATGTGTGCGTATGTACATACAGACATATGGCCCTTTGAACCCACTGAGATCATGCCCGGTGCCCAATGCCCCAAGCCCTAGACCCTACTCTCAAAATCCCCAATCGCTATATTGAGGCATCAGAAGTCTAAAAGCAACTTCTTCCCTGGGTCGGCCAGGCCGTCTCACAAGCCATCGACAAGGGAACCTGCCTCTCGCTTTTTATGCCGAATTTTGTGGTTTCGTGGTTATCTCGTCGTCTTTTACGTGGAATCTTGTGGCTTCCTGTTGAAGGGCTTATTGGCTTTCGCAGAGATTGTGCAGCGCTTCCTAAGCGAATAACTGAATTTGGGTGGGCATCAAAAAGACAGTGTTATGGTTCTTTCGGGTGTGTACTTGGATTCGATTGTCTCCCACTCCCCTTGTACGATATTTGCCTTCAGGATGCAGGGTTTGAGGCTTTTGCGATTAGGGTTCAGAGAGTTGGGTCTTGCGTTCGGGAATCAGGATTGTGGCTTTAGGTTCTGCCAGTTTAACCGTGAAGACAAAGCGCGCACGAACAACGAGGGCTTGAGCAAGTGGAATAGAATCTGGTGCGTATTTGATGATTCATACAGGCTTGACACAGGAGCGAAGGTTTTTAACTCCTCCCTGCTTGTATCTTAGTTGATGGATCTCTGCATGCTAAACTGAAGTAATGAAGGGTGATGGGCATGCTGATCTGTATTTGGCATGTGCTTTTAGCTTCAACTGGACCTAAGCCCCTTCAAGCCCACAATGCATCACAATGCAATTGTTTCGATCCTCATCGCATAGGGCATGATGCGTGTTTGGGGGCCCTAAACCCTTGAAAACCCAAGCTTCGGACGAGGTGATGATGTGATGGCCAACGAGCATCATCAAAGGCTGGAGGACACGCTGTCGCTAGGCAGGGCGGGTCAGGTGCTCATGGGGTTTAGGAGGGCGAGCAGGGCCTCAGAGGTTTGGGGCCTACGTTTGATGGGTTTGTACAAAAGTGAAGGGTTTGGGTTTGCTGTGGGAGCATCCACGCAGGTCCGGTGTTAAAGGCGATGATGAGGGGTTAGCAGGCAGCAGTGGGATTTCGGACTTTGGTGGGGATGCTGAACATCTGTCCTGAGGTGCAGGATTCTCAGATTCTCTTCGCGCAAAGATCCACCCAAAACCCTGCAAGTCTTAGACCAAAAAGCTTTCGAGCCCTGAGCCCCAGCACCTAAAGTTTTGCAACCGAATGAACTCCAAAAACTCTTCAACTTCTTTTTTAATCTACAACCCTGAGCTCCGAAGCCACCAAGCCTAATCCCACAAGCGCTTGCCAGCTCCGAAGTGTTGTGAACACGGCCTCTCCGTCTGCAGTGCCGGAGCCTCACCTTACCGAGGTGGCCTTGAGAGTTGATTGTAGGGCTAAGTTAAGTTTGGGGCTTGGGTTTTTAGGGTTTGGAGCTTGCGGGTTTCAATATTTGCTCTCACGGCTCTTGATGATTGTCGGAGAAAAGCAGTAGCAGTGGCAACACACGAAGTAGTCTAGCAGCACTTGCACGATTAGAGGCAGTAGCAGTGACAGCAGTGGCGGCCGGAGTCTCTGTAGTGGAAGTCGTACTACTACGACGACGACGACTACTACTACCAGTACTGCTACCGCTGCTGCTACTGCTAGTACGGCTGCTACTACGACTACTTCGACTGCGACTTCGACTACGACGACGAGGACTACCACAGTACCAGTGCTAGTACTACTACGACGACTATTGACTATGAGGACTGCGACGGCTATGGCTCGCCATGGCCACGGCTTTGGCCATGGGTATGGCTCTGGCGTTGGCTCTGATTATCAGTATTATCAGTCTGACTATGACTTCGACTTCGACGACGGCGACGACTGCGACTGCCACTGCTACCACCACCACTACCACTACTACTCGAAGGCCCGCTGAACATCGCGCGACACTGTTTGCTATCAGCCGAGTACAGTCGCACAGCTAGGCGAAGTCATATCCCTGAAGTTGCAAGTTGTACGTATTCTGGCGGGCTTCTGAGGTGCTCACGCTGAAAGCAGGCGCTGGGGAGTTGGGCATTGGTTGTTTGTGTCTTGCTCCTTTTCCTCCAGTCTTGAAACTACATGAGACAAACTTGTCTAATGAGCTGCCCTTCGAAGAGCTTCTGTGCGAGGGTCGAAGGTCGGGGATGGTGGTCGGGGGTTGTTGAGGGTGTGGGATTTGTCAGATTCGTTTAAATCCACAATCCTGGACCCTGAAACTGCCGTGGATTGAACAGCATTTGCCAGGCCTGTTAGGTCAAAACATCAGTTCACTTCTTGGTGGCGGTTTCGTCGTCCATATCTGGACGACGAGAGCAGCAACAGCAACAGCATTACTTGCAGCAACAGCATTAAGAGCATGATAGCTGCCACGATCGTGGCCATGAGCACGCCATTGTGATCTTTACCATTGCCGTCACGATTTACCATTGCCATCATTTCTCCCAGCATCATCATCGTCGTCATCACCATAAGGATTATCATAATCATCATCAGCATCATCGCCATCACCATCATCATCGTCGTCACCACCACCGTCATCGTAATTATTCTCATCGTCGCTATCATCGCCATCGTCGCAGCTAGAATCATACTTGACGTCATTGTCACCTGAATCGGACACATCTTCCTCTGAATGCCTAGCTTCTCAGGTGTGCCTTGCGCCAGCGAGGCAGACTTCACTGCTGACAAGGCAGCCCAGCAGGGTTTCGGGCTCTCCGCAAACCTTAAACCCTCGACTTCCACGTGAATGCCTCCCGAAGAACCGGAGAAATCCTTGATGAATCCGTATAAGCCATGAATCCTTTCCCCCCGAAGGTCCTCTCCAGCGAATGCCAGCAGCACGGCTACCTCGACCAAGGGGACTGCGAGAGCCCAGGTTGCGTCTACTCGCAGGCCAGCGCCAGGGTTTAGGGTTCTTAGGGTTCTAGGGCTCTGGTTCCTAGGGGTTTAGGGTTTAGGCCTCTAGTTTCTCGTGGAGTGTGGTGCCTTGGGGTTGAGGGGTTTTGCAGCTTGAGTAGGATACCTGGGCTTCTTTGGGTTTGTACACAATGTAAAGCCCAGACCCCCGGGAGGATCCAAAAAAGTAGACCCCTGAATGGGGTTCCTGTAAGTATCCTTAGTCGTGTAGGGCCCCAAATTAGGGGATCTACTTTCTACATCGTCCAGCTTATGTCTGTTCTTGTAGGAGACTTACTGTCGAAGCCTCCCAAAAAATTGATGTTCTCAGAACCTCAGAAGCCTTTCTTATTCTATTAGGGGCCTAGATGATGACCAATACTACTTTGTGGCGGTTTCCTTGTTATATTTATAGTATAATGGGCCCCCAAGCCCTATTCTGAGTATTAAGGCCCCCATAATATGTGGCTTGTCATGTCGCTCCCTAGATTTGGGTGCAGATTTTTTTAATGAGAGGTTCTGGCAGGTGAAGGCTAGCGGCGGGACGGTCTACCAGGCTGTGGCGCGAGATCTTCGAGGTGTTTCTCAAGTAGGTGCAGTAGGGAAACGAATTGCGAACTTGAAAGTAGAAGTTATGTGCCAAGGGCTTTCTTCCGACTCCTAGCATGGGTATACATGGACCCCTGTGCTTGGTGTACACCCTACACCAGACGTGCTCCTGTGACTACGTGCGTCTGCAACTACATCCTAAGCTAGACTAGGCTAAAGCAGCGGGAACGAGGTATGGGAACCAACAGCGTAGATCACAGACGAATTCCCAAAGTAATGGACCAGATGAGGGATCCTCGAATGAGGGCGCCTAACGAAAAAGCGTTTATGAATTAGGCATGCCGTTTACGCGTAAGCCACATAAAACCAAAAGTCCATGGAGTGTTGATGGTTTTGGGGGATGTTCAGGCCCTGAAAGCCTATCCAAAGCTCTCCCCACGGCTTCGAGGATGGCAAATGCACTTGCCCCGATGCAGTGGGTACCCAAGGGGGATGGGGACCACGAGGAGTCCAGGTTTGGGTTTGTAGGATTTGGCCTAGACCCTAAACCCTAAACCGGAAGAAGGAGACAAAACCCGAAACCGTGTCAAAGAAGTGGGGTTTTGGCTTTAGGGCTTGAGGTTGTCTAGGGGTTCCTGAAAGGAGATCCAGGTTGAGGGTTTTTCCGTGTCATCGAGGTATCATCTTAGAGGGAGCTTACTTAGGAGCAGCCCCAGAGCAGCCCCAAAACCCATTCTGCACTCAAGTGGCTATTCCAGCTTTTCTTCTTCTTCTTGTTCTAAGCATTGCAGTTGCTAGTCCTCCTGCTCGAAAGCAAGTTTTTTGGCCGCATCTAGCCTGTAGAAAACCCAAACCCAAGCCCAAATACCAAACGGACCCCACACTCTGTGCCCAAAAACCTTTTGAAGTCTGTGATCCGGCTTCGGCACAAAAACACAAGCAGAAAAACAAGATCTCCGAGCTTCTGGCATCTCTGGCTTCGTGGGTTGTGGTCTCAGCTTTGTGGCTTCAGCCATGAATCGACTATCTCTTGAAGGCCCTCTCAAATCCAGAAACCCTCGTTCCCAAGCTCGAAACCCCCAAACATCTAAAGCGCGAAAGCTTAAGCTCGCAAACTCTCAACCCTCAACCCCAAACCCCAAACCCCTACGCCCTCAACCTTCTAAAGCCGCCAGCCCCCGGCCCTAAAGCTGGAAGAAGTTTCACCGGCCCGGCTAAGAGGCAACGTGCGCTGCAGCGGGGTTCACGTGGAAGGCCCAGCGCGTTTCCAGTTGTCCTGCCTATATCTATTTATATATATATATATATATATTATTATTATTATTATTATTATTATTATTATCATTATTATTATTACTATTATTATTATTATTATTACTATTATATATATATATATTTATATGTATATCGGTATATCTGTATATAGCGTTCGGCTTGGATTTAGGATTCCGGGAAGGTTACCTTGTTTTGGGCCTCACTGTGGGCATCTGCAAGATTCAATTTATCATGGGGCTCATCGAGATCAATGTAGGATTACTTTGTTGCCGACCCGTGCGGTGTCTTGCAAAATTCTACTGTAACGTCCTTGATACCTAAACCCTAAACTGACAAAACCCTTACGGCCTAAATCATAGATTCAGAAAGAAGCCATTGCACTTTAAAAAAAAATCATAGATTCCTAGACCCTAATTGCGACATTGCAGCCCCTGGGTTGCCGAGCTGTGGGCTCTAGGGAGCGAACATGCTTGCGCAGAACATCACGGAACTGTCATAGGCAATGGGGGTGTTTCGTTTTTGTTAAAGAGTTTGGGGCTCGTTGGCATGTTGGGGCTTTGGGGTGTTGGGGCGTTTTGGTGTTCTGGGTTCTTGCGTGGCTTTTTGGAGGGCTTGGGTGCTAGCATGCTGATTGGGGCCCAGGGGTTTGGGATCACGTCCTCGGGTGCAGTCAGGTGCCTGGGCTGTGTTTAGGGTTTGGGCCTTCAGCGATGTGTTTAGGGTTTGGGCCGGGCCGCACTGCTCTTGCTGTGCGTCTGCACCGAAGCCCGTTTGAGTTATGGTTTGGGCCGGGGGAGTTTACCGTTTTGGGGTACTGTGGTTGCAGGTTTGGCTTTTATTGCGCTTGATTGATTTGGGGTGTTGGTTGTGTGTGCAACCCCCTGTGACAGCCATGATGCCGGAGGAGGATTTCCTCGAACGGTGCACGCGCACCACGACCGTGACGACCTTGACGCCCACGAGGAGACCGGCCAGACAACTACGACGAAACCACTGGTAGATTACCAGAGATCACCAGGAGACCACCGTGAGACCACCAGGAGACCAATGATTTCCTGGCAGATTCAGGATCCGGGCAGTACCCAAAGCCGAAGCCCTATAGTAAACGCCATAAAGTTGGAAACCCGGTTAAGGCCAAATAGTGCTGGGATTCCCTAAACATTACTCTTGAGGATTGAGGCTATTGGGTTTCCAACTTTTTGGCTTCTACTGTTAGCCCCTCTTGGAAGCTTGGAAGGCGGAGACCTGTAGCACGCTGACCGGCTCCTGGGACCTCAGGCTCCGCCTTTCTTCTTGCAAGTCTTTCGGGTTCCGGTTGTCGACCCTAAACCCTAAACCCCTAAACCCTAAGCGCTAAACCCTAAACCCGTTCTTTTGGAGACCTGGTCTCTCGGGCCTTGGGTTGCTTTTGGGCCTTGGGTTGTGAGTTTTGATTTTTGGTTTTGGGGTGGTTGTCTCTGTAGCCTTCGGAATTTAGGGCTGAGGTAGAGACAGGGGTTGACAGCTGAGGGCTTGGGGATCGTGATACGAGCTTAGGATCTGGAGTGGGCCAGGGTCTTGACAGGCAACAGGCTTTTCCAAAACGCTGCGGCGTCGGAAGCCTGGCAGCTATCGCAGTTCCAACGACCGTTAATGCTAGTCTCATGTTAATCATGCAGACCCTCCTAAACCCTAAACCAGAGATTTACTCATCGGATACGATACGAAAGCTCATTCTAGCGATCGAAACTCGTCAACCCCAGGCACGACATGCAGGCTTCGGTCTAGGTTTAATTGGATCCTGGTAGTGTAGGGCCCAGGTACTCACCTATACTATCTTGGAAGCTGCTTACTACATTTATAGCTAGTATAATGGGCACCAAAACCCTATTCTAATTATTAAGGCCCTTATATTACACCCCTATCCGCACACCATTGCAAACGTGATTCTTGGATGCTTATGATATGACGGTGTCAGCGGCATCCTCGCGCAGGATCCTCTGCTATAGGTTGGGGTTAAGAACCCTCAAAGTCCGTGGCAGTTGTATAGCTATTACGAAGGGATGTCGGGCATCATTATTGATGATTCGGACCCGTGAAAGGTCCGCACCATGTACCCACCTGCAGCCCACAGTAGATCCCAAGAGCTTGAACGCATTAGAATAGGGTTTTGAGTCCTTTGAGTCCTCGCATAATTTTCTTATGGACTAAAGGAGATACCCTAAACCCTAAGCCCTACACCCTAAACCGTCATATTACCGACTATACCCCTGGCCGACAGGTTGATGAAGGCTTTCGAGGAGCTGGATTTGCGGGGAATCGTTTTGGGCTTTTGTCTTGCTGTGGGATTTAGGGCTTCGGGTTTTGTGTTCAGGCTTGAGGTTTTGAGGCGCCGCCATTGTTTTGTGCTTTCGACAACTGGGATTTGCAGATGCGGCAGTGGGATCAGGATCACGTGTACGCGGACCCACAATGAAGGCGTATTGTTCAGGTTTGTTTTTTGTTGCTTTCGGGTTTTCAACACTTGGATGTTGTTTGCCTTTTTGTTTTTTCTTTTTTTGGCTCAAAGCTTTCTGCTTGTTTTTGTTTTCGCGTTTCTGTTTCTAGCGGTGCGTTGTTTCTGCTTCTCTGCTTTTCTGTTTTTTTGCCTCGCTCTTCCGCTTCTCCAGCTTCTCTGCTTCTCTTCTGTCCACCCTCATCTCTCCGGTCTCGTTCTGCTCCGCTTTTCTCCTGTCCCCAAGGACTACTGGTACCAGTTCTTCTTCTGCTACTAGTCGTACTACTGCAGCTGCTGCTACTGCTACTGCTACTGCTACTGCTGCTACTACTACTACAACCACTGCTACTGCTACCTACTAGCTACTAGCTACAGGTCACTCGCTACTAGCTACTACCTAGTACATAGTACCTAGTACCTACTACCTATTACCTGCTACCTAGTTCCTGCTGCCTACTACCTCGTCTCTAGTGCCTACTACGTAGTATTTCCTACCTAGTATCTACTACCTACTACTTGCGACTTAGTACTTAGTGCTTGCTATCTACGACATACTACTTACTGCTAACTACTAACTACTGCTGGTCCTACTACTACTTCTTCTACGACGACGACGACTACTACTACTACTACTACTACTACCACCGCCAGTACAACGAGAAGGACAATCAGAACCACAACCACAACAACAACCACAAGAGCAAAAACAGCAGCAGCAGCACCACCACCGCAACCAGCACCCATTATTCTTTGCAGCGCGGTCTCCGCTGCCTTTGAAGGAGGAAGGAGTGTACCACCACTCCCCCACTTGCAAGGGAACACATAACACCGAAGCCAAAATGACAGCCTTTCAATGGAGTCTGCCTGCCCTCTGAACTGGGCCAGGTTGGGGCTGTGGGAAAAATATCATGGGCCATACTCGCACCACCCGCAAATACGTGATGCCCATTGCTACGCCGAAGCCCCTTTATAATCTACTTAGAGTAAGGCGATAAACGCTTGCTTGACACCTGAAGCTTGAATCTGAACTCTAGAACCCTGCTGTACCTGCCTGGGTCTTGAGCGTAAGACATCAAAGTA